CACAGAGACACACACAGAGACACACACAGAGACACACACAGACACACACAGAGACACACACACACACACAGACACACACACAGAGACACACACACACACACAGAGACACACACAGACACACACAGAGACACACACACACACACACACACACACACAAAGACACACAGACACACACACAGAGACACACACACACGGTGTCCCTAAATCAAACATAATCCAAGGTCTACTTCGGCTGCTGAGATAAAGGACTCAGCTGAGACCTTCAACAAGAAGCTGAAGGCTTCAGATGTGATGAGAAACAGAAGGTCTGGAGAAGCTAAAGGAGGAAAGCTTCGGCTCGTTTCAGTCGGACCTGTGGCCGCCGGTCGGAGCCAAAGGTCAAGTGGGGGAACATGTGAAGTGACCGTATGTTTGGCTCGCTGTCAGAGCTCCGAGTGGACGGGAACCTGCGGCGTCACGAGACACGTCAGTCATTGCAGGTGCAGCAGCTGCTCCCCTGGTCAAACATGTCGTGCACAAGACAAACAGTGGAAGCGCTGATCCACCGTGTCATCAGTTTCACATCAGCGTTCAGAAAGATGACTCTTTCTTTAAAGCATCGTTTGACTTTCTTCAGGCTGAAAGTACATGCTCACCCCCAGTCCGCCGCCCTGCACAGCGCAACACGTGAACTCACAGCCTACCATCAGCTGCCAACGTCCTGAAGTTTAGAACAGGAAGCAGCTCTGATAAAACGTCTAAAGACTTTTACAGCTTAAGGCAGCTCAGAATATTTTTATTTACTGAAAAAAATACACAATAAAATACTTGAATATAAAACATTAAAGTCAAAATGACTTTTCCTTGAAGACCGCACACTAAAAGACAAAACTTTGACAATTATGGCAACATTTTCCGTACCTTTCCTGAGCTCCTGGACGTTTTGTACCCCACCGATCGTCCTGAGCTCCTGGACGTTTTGTCCCCCACCGATCGTCCTGAGCTCCTGGACGTTTTGTCCCCCACCGATCGTCCCGAGCTCCTGGACGTTTTGTCCCCCACCGATCGTCCTGAGCTGTCTTTATACTGACGCTGCATGTCCACTCAGCTGAAATGACTGTGCAGCAAAGCCCGTCATCAGGTGAGGTCGACGCTGTGAGCTCTGCTCACCAAACCACCGTCCACCTGCACATTAAAGCCAGTGACTCAAGTCCAGCTTTAAGAAGCTCCTGCTCAGTGATCCAGAGCTGAACCAGCCGCAGACCCTCAGCTCATTTATTCCCTTCACTCCGTTACACTCAAATTTAAAAACTGTACAAATGTGTAGAAGCTCAACATGCACATTTTTCCACTGTACACATCTCAAATAAACTTTAGGTATTTGATTCAGGATGTGTGGAAACTTATAAAAATAAATCAATAAACGTCCGGATCTCAGTAATCCAGGTAGATGACTCTAACCAGGTCAGGTCCTCTGGACGGGTCCTTCTTTGGAGAAACGGTTCGTCTTTTGTCCAGTTTCTGTCCATGAGACTGACACATTGTCCAGTTTAAGACTGGGATTAAGACTTTCCTTTTTGATAAATCCTATAGTTAGGGTCAGCTTGTTATGCTGCTATAGACTTAGACTACTAGAGGACAAACTGACCTCATGTTCTTAAATGAATTGTTAAAATTCAATAGTTTTCATTTGATACTATTTCTATCTTAACATGTGATTCTTGACCTGCCATTGTGTATCTATTCCTACCAAACCCAGCCGGTCGAAGCAGATGGTCCTCTAGTCCTGATCCTGGTTCTGTTAAAGGTTTCTTCCTCATGAGGGAGTTTTTCTTTCCACTGTCGCCTTCATGCTTGTTCAAGATGAGAGTTCAGTGATGGAGTTAAACTCAAAGCTGCTCCTCACATAAATAATGTTCAATTATTATTTTATACATGAATGTTTCTGTTCAATTATTATTTTATACATGAATGTTTCCGTTCAATTATTATTTTATACATGAATGTTTCTGTTCAATTATTATTTTATACATGAATGTTTCTGTTCAATTATTATTTTATAGATGAATGTTTCCGTTCAATTATTATTTTATAGATGAATGTTTCTGTTCAATTATTATTTTATACATGAATGTTTCTGTTCAATTATTATTTTATACATG